GAGCGTCGCCGTCCTGACCTCAGTGGCCGTGACTAGCCGAGTCGCAGCCGCGAGGATCCTAACCGCCCGGAGCTGAACAACTTCAACGTGAACTTCATCCTGCTCAGCGGGGCGGAGAGAGCTTAAGCCAAGGGAGGTCGGAACTGAGGTGCCGATGGCAAATGGCTGCTGTCCACTGTCGCTGGGGGCACTGGACAGCAAATGGCAACAGTGTGTCTGCTTTGCTTTATAAACAATTCCTTAAGGACACGGACTGTGTCTTATAATGATACCAAGGCGTAAGACTTGTGGGTTCTTCACCAAAGATCACATATTTCCTAAGCCTGGTTAAAAGCATGGCAGCTGAGGGGGCTGAACGGGTTTTCCAGGGCTGGCGACACCTTCCTCCCCAACCTGCCAGCATGAGCCCCACGTGGAGGAGCAGGGGCGGAGCAAAGACTCGGTACCTGGGAAAACACAGTGACTTTGCCGGTGTCCTCATTCACTGTCTGGATGGTGCCCTGGAGCACAGCCGTGCCAACCACCTTCCCTGTAACTTGTCCCCTCCTATTAACGACAGCCACAGTCTCATTACTGACGGAGAAGTGAATGATCGATTGGGGCTGGGGGCCACCTTCAGACATTACCTGCAATTTAAACACACCAGTGCGCGCCCGAAGCTTGGGCAGGAGTCACATCCTGGTTCCCAGCACTTGGTCCCAAGGGCTGGACTCCTCACCGCCCTGCCCCCCACAACGGGCATCTCCCCAGCAACGCAAGTGCGGAAGAAATGGAGTGCTGCCAACGAGGCGTGGGGTGCCGAGAGGCAGCTTATGCCATGTTCATCGTGGAACAGGGAAGAGACTAATGTTCTTCTTTATTGTACCCGAGTGGGAGTAGATAAGAGGGTGTGTGTGTGTGTGTGTGTGTGTGTGTGTGTGTGTTGTGTGTGTGTGTGTGTGTGCGTGTGTGCACGCGCGTGCCTGTTGGTGCAGAGGTGGGATGCGGAGAAAGGCTAAGTTTTATTTTTCTGTCTTTAACATCACCTGCATCATGTTAGTCGGAATCAGCGTCATTTTCTCTGGAACAAGTTTGAATGGAGGAAACACCTTGAAGGAGAAAAGCAAAAGGACGAGAGTGACCAACCAGAGTCGATTCCGCGACAACGACCGCACAGCCTGTTCTGCGGGGAACCTCACTGGTACAATGGGGTTGTACACAAAGACGTGTGTTTTCTTCTATTTACAAATACAAATTTACAAAAAATTGTAAATTACTTAAATAAGAATGCTTAAATAAGTTATTACGCATCTGCTCACTGGAATAAAAGTGGTCATTAAAATGATGTTTGCGATTATCTGCCTTTTTTATTTTTTTTTCAAACATATATAAAAATGGAGAGAACAGTATAAAGAACCCTCAAGCACCTATTACCCAGCTTCAACAGCTATCAACACGTGGCTGAACAATTAGCTTTTAAGGACATGAGAAAATATTTTTGATAGAAAATTCATATGAAAAAAGCAGTGTGATTCATCCATGTTAAAATAAGCATAGGGAAAAAAATGAAGGAAATATACCGAAATCTTAAAAATGGTCGCCTCTAAGTAGTGAAGTTATAGGTGATTTTAATTCTGCATCTTTATGTTTTTTTGTTCTTTCCAATTTCTAAAGAGTGTATTACTTTTGCACAGAAAACCAAAAACGAATTCCATAATGTTGCAAGTTAGACAACTACAATTTTTTTTAGTCAAATGATTTTTGACTTGTATGAACTAAACAGAAAAAGATGATGTTAAATAAGATAAAGTATCAATTTTGGATGAGATCATTTCCTTACTTCAATTTGCCGAGGAGCTGATGTGAATTTTCTCCCCATCTTGTCCCTGGCAATAGCCACAAGTGTGGTTTGCCCAATAGTGACAGCTCGAAGGATGTAATTTTCAGAGTACTCGTCCTGTTCCTCCATTAGCCTGCAAAGACCCGTGTGTTTTTAGGTGAGAAAGACACCCACGTGTCCTTGGTTTTAAAAATGGCCAGTTATGCATCTTTCGAAGGTATTCAACGTTTTCTGCTCATTTTAACTCTGGTTAGAAGGAACGGCCAGAAAGTAAATTTCCAGAGTCAAGACAAAGTTCATGGCAATAGCAGGAATCTCCCGAAGGGCAAAAGGCTGTCCGAGTCTCCGGAGGGATGAGGGCAACGTAAGCACAGACTGGCGGAGCCCGAGCGCTGAGCGGCCTGGGAAGTCCCGCAGCAACCCTTTCGCGGGGTGGGGGCGGGGCAGGGTACCAGTGCCCCTGCTTCTAAATAGATTTTTGAAGGTCCTCTAGCCCGAAGCAGCCCCGAGGGATATTGTCCAGGGAGGAGCTTCGTAAAGCGGAAATATCAACGAGACCCCTGATTTTAGCCCTAACACAAGACATCTGGTGATCTGGAGGGGTATTTGGCAGGTGCTGAATGTGGGAAGGGAGTGTGGGCTGAAAGGCATTGAGACCAAAAAGGAAAGAGGAAAATCCGAAAGAACTGCGGGAGACCTGACCAGCTTAGCAGGAGGGCGGTTTTCCTGGCATTAAGCATGGGAAGAAAGGAGTATGGAAATGGCACTCACGTCAGGGTGACGATGGCAGAAGCCAGCTGCAGCTGGAGGTCCATGTTTCTGAAGTATTTGTTTCGGAACGGGCGTTTGGAAGAGCCAAGAACCCTCACGGTTACTAACACAGTTTTACCTATTTCGACCTAGTAGTTAAAAAATAAAAATAAAAGGTAATTTTCATAGCGGTGTCTCCTTCACCAAGGGGCAGCCTAGCTCTTCTGTTCATGCTGCACGGCCCCGGTCAGCCTTTGTGCAGATCAGACTAATCTACGAGCACCGTGTGCATCTCCACCGTGGCTAATGTGCAGCGCTGTTCTTTAAGGGCAGGTATTTCCAACACGCTGGCAAAGGTCCTGGTGCGTGCCCAGCAGCAAGCAGAGGCTGCTGCTGATGCTAGCGTGAGAGCGAGGCCTGCTCCACTCACGAGGAAGCGTGCATCACTCACCTTGTCCATCAGATCGAGCTCCAGCTCTTGTATGTCTGACACCCGGAGGTGGGCCACCGCTGGACCCAGGAAAGCCAAGCACAGGTCATAGACCTCCAAGGTGAGAAGTCCAGGATGTATGGGAACCAACTAGAAGGAAGAGAATAGGAGCTGGGTAAAGAAGGGAACATGCTCCAAGCAAAATCATAGCATCTACTTTCATTGAAAGCAGAGGATACACTTTCTCACTTCCTCGGTGATGAGAACTCTGAGCGGCCACAGCACGTGCTTCAGGGGCAGCACACACGTGCCCTTGATGCGGAGTTTCAGCTAACGGCCGAATGTGCACCGTTAACAAAGATGAACTGATAAAGAGCAGAGTTTAAGTCGACTGTATTCAAGCAGAATCCAACATACACACCCAGCCTCTTAACTATGACAGGGACTGGACTTGACGAGGACAGTCAAGTTCATTTCTGCGGCCTGTGCGGGAGAAAGCACGGCCAGACAATACTTTGTTCCTCCCGGTGCTTCTGCCCCACCCAGCAGTGTGATTTCATACCCATGGCTGCAAACCCTGCTGCAGTCTCCCCTTTTAAAAACAAACATCCTGACTAAAGTAAGTTCAAGTCCTGCAAGCTCTTAGAAAGGAAACGTAAACACATGGTAACGTCAGGTGCTACTGTTATCACTGCAAGTCAGCTCAAAGGCATCCCTCGGCAAACTGACTCTGGAGCCAGCTTAAAACATCCCTCGGCAAACTGACTCTGGAGCCAGCTTAAAACATCCCTCGGCAAACTGACTCTGGAGCCAGCTTAAAACATCCCTCGGCAAACTGACTCTGGAGCCAGCTTAAAAGTCTGAGCTGTCACGTCCTGGCTGGAAACTCCACACACCCAGGTTGTAAAGTCAACAGTATGTCTAACTATCTACACAGTCTGTGCTTTGAAATTATGGAAATGAACCTTCTTTTAATGGAAATCTTATAATCAGAGGTCTTTTATACTGTCTCAGCTCAACCAGAACCAAAAATTGTCCAGTATTCCAGCTAGTTACCAAAAAATGGGGGGAGGGAGAGAAAAAGAAAAACCTATATTTGGTTTAAGAATCTACGTAGGTTAAAAAAAGAAAAAGAACCAAGTGTTACTTTTGTAACCACTTTGAGACACACAATGACACCCTCCCAGCCATGCTCCCTCGGTCTGGGACTGTCCCTAGAACTCACCTGGATCGAGCTCTCAGCTTCCATGTAAGTGATGGTGGCAATGTCCTGCTCACTGCTGTTGACTAAGAAATAACCAGACCCTTCCACGAGGCTAAATATTTCCTGCGGAAAAACCAGACACATAATATGCCACTCCCTTCGGTTTATAAATGATTCGAAGCAAAGAACTTCTACATACCCAAGAAAGGGCATGGGGTTAAAAGACTACGGTGCACGGACCGAAGACAACACGAAGATCAAGGTGCGACTCCTAAGGACACCGCAGGCAGTGGCCACACACGTGCACGTGTTTCAGCGACTCTACACGCACACGCGAGCTTGCTAACAGTCGCGCTGTTAATTTTCGTGGCCCGGTCCTCCCCGTCCACTGCGGTCCCACTTGGCTAGACCGGTGCGACGTCTACCTTCACATCCGGGTGGTTGTACACGGTGGCATTCTCAGGCACCACGGTCACATCGTCCACCAGCAGCAGCTCCACTGAGGCCGACCTGGGCGAGTTGGAAAGCTCCTGGGAAAGTAGTAAGAACCGCGAGGGTGACTATGAACTCCCCGTTCCTCGGCTCGCTGAGAGGAGAGTCCAGTCCTCTTTCAAGTGCCAAGGAGCACGAAGTCACCGACCGCAGCATTCCCGGATTTACACCAGAACCAATGACTTTTAAAGAGCCTTACATTTCAGTTACTTAACTTCATACTTCCAATATGACAATCTCCACCTACCTTTGGACTTTTCCTTTCTGAATAGCCCACAAAACTGACCCCGATGAGTACGGTCCCTTTTAGCCGATGGACTTTAACGATCTGATGACCTGGAGACATGCAGAAAAACACCCTGTGAGAAACAATCGCATGTAGAATACAAAACTGTCTCTAGAAAAGCAAATTCTGTCGATTTTTTTCAAATGATGTTTTATAGCAGGGGAAAAAAAAACCACATCGAATGGGGAAAAACAGCAGAATCAGAAAACTGGGTTTTCGTGCTGACTCTGCCACTATATTCCTATGTGACTCTGGGCAATCACTTTATTTCTCAGATCCTTTATTAAGTGAGGGACTGGGCCAGGCAAAATCTAACTCCCTCTGCTCCAATGGTCTGTGAGTCCCAAAACAGGCTGGCAACGTATGGGGAAATTTTTATTTGATTTAAAAATGAGAGTGAGAAATAAAGACATAGTCCTTTGGCGCCTTTTACTCTTCTAAACTATTTTGTACACGTCAATGTCATGTCAGTCCCTTACCCCTCAATTTAAAATGGCTATCTATTCCTTATTAGAACAGTTCACACTCCTTAAACTAGTTTGAAGCCTTCCATAATCTGACCTTGCTTTACTCATTCATTTTTACCTCTTTTTTAAAAATTTCACTATCAAGAATCTGCCACTTTACATAAGTCAGTCCTGATTTTGTCCTCAACACCTGGTGATCGTGCCTAAATGTGTGAAGCATCTTCTCGTGATGCTAAATACATTCATTCATTCATTCATTCATTCATTCGGCAAAGATTTAGGGAGGGCTACTACTATATGCTAGGTATGTGAAGGCAATTAGGATACTGAAGAAAAGAAAACGGCCCTGGCCCTCCAAGAAACCCAGAGTTTAGAGCAACCGAGCGGGACACCGACCACTGCCAGTGTGGTAAAGCGCACCGCAGAAGCACCGAGGGAGCACGCGTAACGGAGGACGTCGAGCACAAAGACAGAATATTGTCCTCAGATTGGGAACACAGAGGGACAGAAAACTCCTAGGGCACTAGAGGAAGATTTTAGCCCAGCGAAGAGGCAAGAGAACATGCAGCATACGCAGGCCAGGGGCACGACCCGCCTCGTCATGGACGGGGACCCGAGGTTGCTGAACATGAGGAACATGTGAGCTCTAAGGGGCGGGAGCGAGAGGGGAGGCCGACGAAGCGGGCAGGACCCAGTGTGTTACGCTGCAACGTGGATTTTATCCCGAGAGACACGGGGAGTCCCTGAAGACGGTACGGTGACAGTACAGTCAGTGGCCAAGACGTCAGAGCATAGGCGTGGACGTCAGAGAACTCGCCGTGTCATCTGTTTATTGTGCCCAGAACACGGTAAGAAGGCAATCAACGTTTGACGGACCAGTGAACTTACAAAATCGGGATGACGATGCCGGTCTCCCGTGGTGTCGTGAGGGCTACATGAGCACGTGCATGTATTCAGAGCAGTAGCCAAGATTTCTAAGCTCGGGAAATAGTAGGCAAAAAAATTTTTTTGACAGATTCAGATTTGTATTTCAGGAAGATCATTCCGGACGGTAGTGTGGAGGGTGAGTTAGAGACACACGCGGGGCCACCGCAGCGATGCAGGATGGAGGCAATGGGGACGTCAGTGGTGAGTGACGGAGGAAGGGGTGGACCGGAACAGTGTCCATGGTGACACGGACGGTGGGCGCTGTCACGGGGAGCGTCTCTCCTCCCCACCGCCTTTTATACTGAGTGAATCGCAACAGGTGTCACGGCGCCATAGAATTATCTGTATGTTCGTATCATGTTGTCATGTCCTCCAGCTGAGCTCTTAAACCTGTTCTGAGTGCGAGCGGCCCATGGGTAGGAAAAGGCTAATTCTCATCTGTCCTTGTCTGGTGCTTCCTAGTCCATTGAATGGTCATACCGCGCCCCCCGAATGCCCGTGACGGAAGCTGTAAGTCATGCTCTGTACTACTGTGTTCTTCACGTTTGGGATGGACTTGTGGTGGATTGTTTATATTAACGGCCCGCAGTGAATCCTGCCTGTTGGCCTCCGTGTCCTTGAGGGGTCCTCACCCACCCTTACTCTGGTTTTGGGCCAGTGACTTGCTTTGGTGAATGAGACATCAGCAAATGTGATAGAAGCAGAGGCTTGAGCACGTGAGGTCACGCTGATCTCTTAGAACCTCGTCTAGCGCCCGTGGCCTCTGTCAGCCTCACTCGCCTTATTCACTCAGTCTTGCAATTTCCTCGTTCCAACAGGCCTTCGGGTCTCAGCATGTGTGTTACCTTCTCAGGGTGGCCTTCTCTGTCCTAAACTAGGTTCAGTTTTCCTGTTATAAGCTCTTAAAGCACCCCAAATTTGTCTTTCACGACACCCAGCACGACTGTAATGCTCAGAGCCTGGCTTCGCGAGTTAGGCTGTGTCTGTCTAGGAGGGCAGAGTCTGCAGTCACATTATCTATAGCTCATGTACCATGACATCGCCAAGCGCCTGGCAGGGGGTCTTTACCTGTAGTAGCCACGCAACAAGTATGGGCTGACAAATAAGTAACAGTTCCATAATCTTAGGCAAATAGTAGGTAATCGATACACTTTAAAATTAATTTAATTTTATGTTCTATGAGAAATGTTGGACCCTAGCTTCGCAAACAAGGAAGTCTACCTTTACACTTCCTAAAAAATACAAAGATCAAATATGGAAGGTGAGGGACAATAAAATCTAAACTGGACCGTCCGCCGCAGGAAGTGCTTAGTGCAGAACCACTGGCAGGTATACGAAAGGGTTTGTAAGTTTTCACAATACCGTGTAACCGGGTCTGCCCACTGCCGTCATCCTTTGCTACCATCTCCACTGAATTATAATTTTCAAAATGAGCTAGTGTTTTGTTTGACGACTTCCATTCTAGCATTAGTGAGCTGAAATTATCAAACTTCCTCCTGTGTTCATCAAACACCGCCAGTTCCAGGACCGTGTCCCTTAGGCTTGATACAGGAATCTGCATTAAAATGGAAAGAAAAACAAAAAAAAACCCAAAAAACCAGTAGCTTAAGAGGGTTGGTAAGATAACTCTGAAGCTAGGGATCGTGTTTTCTCCCAATTATTTTCTCTGACAAATTTCAAACCTCCAGACATGTGGAGAAAATAGTATAATGAATACCTACCTATACATACTTCATCTGGATTCACCATGTGCTTTCTCTCCCTCTCCCTCTCCTCCCTACCATCTACACCCGTGTATGTCTGTGTGATATGTGTGTGTCTGCGTGGTGTGTATGTGTATGTGTGTGTCTGCGTGGTGTGTATGTGTGTGTGTGTATGTGTGTGTCTGCATGGTGTGTGCATGTGTGTGTCTGTGTGATGCGTGTGTGTCCGCGTGGTGTGTCTGTGCGTGCATGTTTGTGTATGTGTGTCTGCGTGTATGTGCGTATGAGTGTGTGTGTTTTGCAAAACGAGGCAGACGCCACAGCACTTCACCCCTAAGCACTTCAGCACGCATTTCCTAAGAGCGAGAACGCTCTCCTACACCGTCTGTCCACTGGCTCTGTGACTGCTTGTCATTATTCTTCATGACGGGGTGGCATAGAGGTGAGCTCTCTTACTTATTAATAATG